GGCACTCTGTGCCGCTCTCATTGCCGAGCAGCAGGATATGGACCTGCACAACGCTCGAGGAGGGAAAAAGGTGGTAAACAAAGCAGGACACACTATTGATACCTGCTGGTCGAAGGATAAACCATCTTGGAAGCGGTCTGCATCAAAACATACCAAAGATTCTTCAGGTGAAGCTGAGAAGCCGGAAGCTGAGAAGCCGGAAGCTGCGAAGCAGAATACTGCGAAGCCGAACTCTGCGAAACCGCCTACTACACCTGCCAAGACACAAGCAAAAGAGGTTATTAATTGCATGACGTCCGTTTCTACAGTCGACGATCCTGACGCTGAAGACCGTATTCACAATAACTTCAATGATGAACTCAATACGCCCATACCACCCGAGGTCTACGCCAACCTTGCACATACCTTGGAAGGTCCCAACACTTGGTATCTTGACAGTTGTTGCGGCCAGCATATGTGTTCATCAGAAAACCGCTTCGTCATCAATCAGCGTCGTCTTCAAAACCCATGCGTTGTAACCGTCGCCAACAATCAACGTCTTACAGCACACTGGATGGGTAACATCATTCTTGATTCCGTTGAAGAAGACTTCAGTCTTCACCTTAACGATGTACTTCTCGTTCCTCGACTTGGCTTCAATCTAATGTCATCTGCACAGCTCATGAGGAATGGAATTACTCTTCTTGGTGAACCGGGCAAGTTCACTTTAAAATATGGAGATAGGAAACTCGGCACGGCAATCGAACAGAACGGTGTATTCGTTCTCAACTTCGTACCTGAACGCACCACTGCCGATTCCGAGAATATTCTCTCTCTTGGCCCATGGGAACATCGTGATGACATCGATTACACCGATGATACCGTTCCTCGTGAAGGAGTTGTACCCACGTCTTCAACCACGGCTGCCGCTGTCATGCTGACCTTCGACAATCAAGGTTTGAACGACGTCCAGAACTCCCGAGATTATCTTGCTCACGTTGGTGGTTGGGGAGATACGACGAATATACCCACGGATGAAGGCACTTGGGGGGCACAGGAACCTGACGAGACCACTTGGGGAGAAACACCTGCTGATCGTGATCGACGTCTTCTCACTGAAGCAGAGCAGCGTGTCGCTGACATGGAAGTCCTTGACTCCGGATGACTTGTCGGCATTGAGCCTAAACCTGCAGCATCAGATCAAGAGAGCGGGGAGTTAGTTCTCTCTCCTGGCGAATACGTCGACGTTGACATAAAAGTTCCACCACCTAACCTTACCAGGTTTATCTCACCTGTCACATATCATGTGCGCGCTGACGGTCATCGGCTGCTGTTATCTTTCTTCGCTAACGCCGATTATTATCTGCGCGCACAGGGACACAAAGCAACTGCAGACACCTGGCATAAGCGTCTTGGTCATCCGTCACAGTCTACGCTCAACAACACAATCAAAGCAGCTGTTCTCGACAAGAATTCTCTTCTCTTACCTGGCGGCCTCGAAATGAAACTGGTTAATCGTCCGCCACCCTGCTTGATCTGCCCAGCAGCAAATCTACCGCACGAACCGTACCCGACTCATTTTCCTGGCGCTGAGGATTATCGATTGATGGAAAAAGTTTACTGTGATATTTTAAACTTACCTGCGGAGGGTTTCAATGGCGAGAAATACGTCATCACATTCACTGAAGCATCTACTCGATACGTCTGGACTGGTAACATGACTAACCGTTTTCTTGCCTTCACAGCGTTTTGAACATGGCTGCCTCTCGCAGAACGCGAGTCCGACGCCACACTTAAAACCTTTCAGTGTGACGGAGCTGGGGAATATCGCAGTCTCGAGTTTACAACGTACCTGCAAGAAAGAGGCATACGGCGCCTGTTCTCACTTCCTCACGCTCACCAACAGAGCGGTGTAGCTGAACACCTCAATCGCACTTTGCAAGAAAAGATGCGAGCACTACTCGCACAATCCCAACTCGGCCCACTCTACTGGCCCTTCGCAATGGACCACGCAACCCTGTTGCATAACCTCCTGTCTTCATCAGCTCTACCCAACAACGCATCACCTCACTTGTTGTGGACAGGAAAATTGGGCACTACGAAACTTCTTCGAGTTTTTGGGTGTATCGTGCAATATCGTCCTCCCACCGCTCCGCTCGGAAAGTTCGATCAACGCGCTAAGTGGGGTCTTCATCTCGGCCTTGAGAAGTAGTTTTCTGCCTGGCGTATCCTGTATTATCGCAGTCGTCTTTTAATTCCTGCCCGCGACTGTATTTTCTACGAAAATCTGACCCTTCCTGTCTTCGAACAGTATCTCGCCACGCAGCGTGACCCTGCTACACTTTTCCACGGTGTTCGTTCATTCGCCAGCACTGACGCCGAACTTGCTGCCAGCGAAGAACCTGACATTGACGGTGCACGTCAAGCTGCTCCTGATCCACCTATACCAACCACCTCTTCCGGATTTCCGGAATTCATTCCTCTCGTTGACACTCATCCGGACGATGTTCGTGAAGTTCATCATACTTACCTGGTGGACGATCAACGACGTCCCATGCCAGCTGTAACTGACAGCAGCATCCGCGTCGATCCTGACGAAATTGAGGGGGCAAGTGGTGAACAGAGTGAACCTGTCAATTTCGCAGGACGGACCGAAGACAGTCCTAATTATCAAACTGGGCTTCAGATACTGGGACTCGCAGCAGCAATACAGCACAATTCTACAGAAGTCGCAGAACCGAAAACTGCCCGACAGGCCCTTTCAGGACCACATCGCGAAAAATGGCGTGAAGCCATGGATCATGAACTGGCTACCCTGGAAAAACGGGAGACTTGGGATCTCATACCCATCGAAAAAGCTACAAATAAAAATATTCTTACCGGAAAATGGGTCTTCAGGGTGAAGACGAAAGCTGGCGGCTCTTATGAAAAACATAAGGCGAGGTGGGTTGTTCGTGGTTTTGACCAAACTCATGGGGTAGACTACACGCTAACCTTCGCCCCGGTCAGCCGACACACAAGTGTTCGTCTCGTCATCTGCGAAGCAGCTGCGAAGAATTTTCCGCTTCGACAAATTGACGTTTCCAACGCATTTCTGTACGCTGACGTCGATGCTGAAATCTACGTCGAATATCCACATACCTATCCGACAAATCCGCCAAGTGTCTGCAAGCTCAAGAAGTCACTGTACGGCATCAAACAAGCCCCGCGACTGTGGCAGCAGCATTTGAACAAGAAACTTACAGAGGTTGGGTTCCGACAACTACCGCATGATCCCGGAATGTATCGACTAGACGACAAGGGGAGCTACGCGCTACTCGTGGCATACGTGGATGATATTCTCTACGTCAGTTCTTCGGTTTCCTTGGGTGATCGCATCGAAGCAGATCTGAAGAAATCCCTTGATTTAATCGTCTCCACCGAAGTAACTCAATTTCTTGGGTTAAACATTTCACGAACCTCCTCCGCCATCCACCTCACAGCATCGAAATATGTTGAGTCACTCGCTAAGCGTTTCAAGATTTCTACAGATAACGTCGCTACACCGTATCGGTCTACACCCACCGGGCACATCCTAAACAACACCAAACTTTCGGCAGCTGGTCTACAATTGTACCAGCAGCAACTCGGGTGTCTTCTCTTCGCAGCAGTCACGTGTCGTCCCGACCTTGCGTATGTCGCAAGCTATCTCGCACAATTTTTACGCTGCCCAAAAGAAGAACACCACCTCGATCTTCAGCGCGCTCTACACTACTTTGTCGCAACACCAACAGTCGGGCTGATTTTCAACACAGGAAAACCAACCGACAAAATGTACCTCAGCGGATATGTTGACGCAGACCACGCTGGTGACACGTCAGATCGTCGGTCACAAACGGGCTACATCTTTCGTCTCGAACCAATTGGCCCGATCTCGTGGAACTCATCGAAACAAGAACTCGTGTCACTTTCCTCGGCTGAAGCAGAATTCATTGCCGCGTGTGCTGCAACTCGAGAAGGACTATACTTACAGGAACTGCTCGACGAAGCAAAGTTCGTCACGCCGAATCAGTTTACGTTTCAGTGCGACAACCAGAGTGCAATTACCATCGCCAACAAACCCGGCTTCGTCAATCGCACGAAACATATTTCACTGCGTTACTTCTTCGTCAAAGATGCGATCGACAAGGGGAGAATGCGCCTTGTCTACTGTCCCACTAGTGACATGGCAGCTGACTCACTTACCAAGAAGCTGACACGACAGAAATTCCACCACTGCAACAAGCTCAGCGGAATTTCTGAGACAACTGGGTAACTACACCGAACTCCTAGAAGTGAAGGGGAGTGTTGAGATAATATCGAGACTTAAGCACTTCAAGGAAATTCGTGTAGTACAGTAAAGTACCGATAGGCTAACGTCAGCAAAGCGCTACGCGCCCTAGGATGACGTCAGCACGTAGCTATAGACCTCGCGAAAAGTTACGTACCGTTTCAGTATAGGAATAGCACAGTACAGTAGGCGAACAGGTACTTTACTCTAGCTATATATTCTGTATGCTTGTCATTTTATAATATATCTGATTTCAAAGACATTGATCCTGAAACATATCACTACATGGGCTTTTATTAAGTCCAGACAAAGCCTTCATAACTGGCTTTAACTCATACAAGACTTCCGCTACGACAAGAAGCTACCATCCTAAGTAATACGATCCTATACAATCATCTCAAATTCTAACACCGTATACTGATCTCAGCAAAATAACACAGGGCCCATGAGAAGCATAAGCACTATAGTGTAGCATTCTATCTTAAGATGTATGAAGCTACAGTTCTTGGTTACTGCAACTCCATTCATCGGCTTTAACAGCAAGCACCACAAAGCTACACGACTTTCTGAGTCCGCTAAACAAGGCAGCTGTGTGTGGATCACAGGGAACAGGAGGAGCAGCAGCAGCAAATGCTCTGTCTGTACGGTATATGAAGTTACACTTAGAACAGTGGAGGAGGCAGGCACTTGGCAGTGATTGCGCTGACTGACACTAGCAGCAGAAGAATTTGGCCTGTTGCTTTGGCTGTTGATTTGGTGCCGGCCGTTGGATCGACTTATTATTGGCCTGAACATGCAACGAGGCAGACCGGGATGGGAGAGGAAGGGAATACGGAACGAGGGGGAAGACAAAAATGGGTGGCGTGAGACAGCGGAGGTTGAAGGGGAAGCGGGGGAGAGGAAGAGGGAAAACGGGAGAGCGAAACGAGTAAGGCTTGCACATATGAATGCATGGCATAAAGGATTACCGTGATACAACCAGTCTGCAAACAAACTCTGCTCTTAGCTATTCCTGATTCCCTCCTTGTCTCCTGCCTACACCCCCTCCCCACTAGCAGCATATCTCACCTGTTTAATTATTTCATCCACATCAACTGTACCAGCGCCGCCTGCTGCCGCCCCTCCAGTCGCACTCATGGGTGGCATGGGCTTGGCAGGTAGCATGTGATGGTGTGCACCAGTATTACGGGGGGATTCATGGGCCACTTGAGTGGGGCTGAAGGCAGGAGGAGGTGGAGAGGACGAGGAGGACAGAGGGGCAGCGACTCCTGTGGTGGGGGATGGGGTTGGGGCAGGTTGTTTGGGGACAAGAAGAGAGGGTGAGAGAGTGAGACGGGAATGTGTTGCCTGCTTGCTTGTGGTTGATGTGGAAAGGCAGGGGAGAAGTGGAGACAAATGAAGTAGAGACTGTCGTAGGGATTCGAGGCAAAGGCTGGCTGGATGGATTAATGGATAAATGGATGAACGGAGGTAGGGAGGGAGGGAGGGAGGGAGAGAGAGAGGGAGGGAGGAAGGGAGAGAAGGAGGGAGGGAGGGGGGCAGAGGAGGGGGAAAGCTGGCATGGCAAGTCTGTTAAAAGAGGTGGTGTGGAAGCTCCCTGTACTCTGGAAAAGAGGCGGGGGAGGCTGGTTGGCAGGATAAGGAATAGAAACCCGAAATGCGATTCCCACACAAGTCATGCACACACATGCTGAACCCTTCATACTTTATATTATAGGCAAACCGCAAAGCAAAACACCTCACCTTGATGCCTAGAGGGTGAGGCAGCAGCAACAGCAGCAGAATCAGTAGCCCCCCTTTGAGCTGCTTCAGCAGCACGAGCCAGCATTTCTCCCACAGGACCTTGAACGGCTCGGGAAACAGGTAGCAATGCCACCACACCCCCCCCGGATCCACCTACCCCTGCATGCCCCTGCCCCTGCAGCTGCTGCTGCTGCTGCCGCTGCCGTTCCTGCTCCTGCTCCAACTGCGTCTGCTTCCACTGCTGCTGCTTCTGCAGCTCCTGCTTCTGCTTCTGCTGCTTCTGAAAATCAGAAAAGTCGTGAGAGAAACCTTCCCCAGACGATGCCTTCATGACTTCATTGAAAGGGGGAGGGCGGGGAGCGGACCGTTTGGGGGAAACCGGCGGGGCGGAGGAGGTGGAGGCAGGAGCAAAAGGAGGGATAGGGTTGGCGTGAAAGGGCCCATCTTCAGGTACAGTAGATGCACGATCTTCGGATAATCTTCCACCCCCCCCGGCAGTATTCTCGCCTCCCCAGCGGGAGAATGAATAGGCAGCGGAGGAAGATGGGGAGCCTACGGGGTGGGAGGAGGCGCGGGGGGAGTGGGCGGGGGAGCGCAGTAAGGCAGAGGCGTCGGGAGGGGGGAGGGAACGCGGGGGAGAGAAGTTGGTTTGGAGGAGGGGGGGAGTGGGAAAGTGGGAGGGGGAGGAGGATGGTTCTGCTGTACGAGCGGCAGCAGCAGAGGGGCCTTGAGCGGCAAATGCCTGAGAGAAACTGAAGGAGTGGCCTTCCTGGAAGCAGGATTGAAACACAGGGAGAGGGGTTGGAAATGGGAGATGTTGAGTGAGTCAACTGAAAGATCATTTACGCCTGGGAGCAATCAAGGAGTGGGTGCTATGGAGAAGGCAGGGAAAGAGGCAGATGGTCTTGATGGATGAATGGAAATTGGCGAGAGAGGAGAGTTGAGGGAGGGTAAGTTGGTTGGAAAAAAGGGGGATGAGAATGAGACGGCATCGGGAGTGACGCAGCGAATCGCGAAAGGCAGTTGGAGAAGCGGGGACAATGCTGATGCTAGGTCAGAACGTTGGGTTTCAACTTTCGCACCTTAAAATATAACTCCTTCACTTCCTCACGCTAGCTGCATTCTGTATACTAGATTCTGTGGCCCGGCTCCTTCCCAACCCTCACCCCTCCCTACCACTACCCTTTTCGCTCGCTCCATCCCACCCCCCTCTCATCCTACCCCTTTCGCTCCCACCCCTCTCCCCCCCCCGACCTTTTCGTTCTCCACTTCCTACCCACCTTTCCGCCAGTCGACTCTTCGACGTCTGGCAAGAAAACAAACGCGGGCGCGTTCCTCTTTCCTCCTGCTGCTGGCCCCACCATCCCCGCCGCCCCGCCCGCCCCGCCCGCCCGCGCTGCCCCCGCCGCCGCCGCGCTGGGCGCAACCTCCCCTGCATCAGTTGCCCTTTCACCAAGCAAATCCGCAGCTGCTGCTGCATACGCCGGCGCTAATTGATACCCCCATGGCCTTGGTGAAGACCCGCTGGGGGACGTTGCCTGCATTCCCCCTATTCCCCCTGCGCCTCCTACTCCCCCCGCGCCCGCTATCCCCCCTGGGGCCCCTAACCCTCCTGCGCCCCATACTCCCCCTACCCCACCTGCGGAAGGGGAAATCGCTCGTGGGCTGAGGGACCTCTGATGACTAGACACCTCTTCCTCTGATGAAACTACCCGTCCCAACCCGCGCTCCCCTGCTCGCCCTAAACTCGCGTCGCCACTGCCCGCACGGCTGGAAGCTCGGCTACTGCCTCTGCTGCCGGCGGAGATTGTCGGTAGCGGCGATTGGCGAGCCTCGTCGCGCCGCTTCTCTCTCCGGAGATTGAATTGCTCCGTGAAACCCACGTCGGATGAATCTTCGACGGTCCACGGGAGCGACGACATGCCTGGTGATTGCGACAGTGGCACGAGTCAAGAAACGGCTCTTGATGCTGATGTTGCTGGGTGCTACGGTGCTGCTGCTGATGCTGCTGCTGCTGCGGCAGGTGGCGACGATGGTACTGCTGCTTACGGAAATCGCTGGATCGGGCGCGATAAGGAAAGGGCGGGCGGGAGAAAACTCCAAGAGGTCGGGCGCGGCTGAGCCTTTAACGGGGATATGATCAGTGCCTTCGAAATTCACTGAGCGCGTGGGAAAAACAGCATGCCAAAAGAAAAAAAAGGGATTAGGGTTACACGTCCATACGCACTTCGCCGATATTTACTAGCACACCTGAGCACGTCCGACTCGCGATTCTAGCTTGGACCTCTTATCGGATGTTACATACGCCACTCGGTGCAATGGCAACAGGCCCCTCTTTTCAACAGAGCAGGAAACATCAATGCGCGCGGTGCAAACAGAATGAAAGCAAAAAGAATGTGCGAAGGACGAAATAAAGGAGGATAAAATAGCAACAACGATCACAGAAAGTTGAGATAACGAGTGTGAGAACGGCACGACGAAACGGATCTGAGCGTGCTTTCAAGTCGAGACTTAACGACACACCATGGAAAGGCGCGAAGATGAATTCCAGGCGGCACACGAGCTTCGTTTGCTGCCAGCGGACTGACCTTACCGAAGATTGGCGATTAAACGCATGATGCTACAACCAATACGGCGACGACAGGAAAGTGAGGGAGAGAGGCAGTGGAGGGGGAGAGAGAAGGAGTGAGGAGGGGATGCGAGGACGCACGTAGTAAAGCGTGTAGGTTGGATGCTTTCGAAGCTGCGACACGACGAGACGCAATGCGACGCAGTGCGATGCGATGCGATGCGATGCGATGCGATTCGATGGGACGCTAGGCCGCGGCTTGATGAACGGTCGCAGATCCGGCTCAGCTGGCGATGCGAAACGTCTCGGTTCAGGCCAACGGACCAGAAGAGTACCGTAAATCGGGCTAGCTGTATAAAGTGGCGCCGGGCACTAACAAAAAGTCCTTTCTCTTGCCATGATAACTATGGCTTAACCAGCCGCCTTCAAACTGCTGACCTGACGGCACACGCAACGCGGAGGATCCTAGTCTTCACGTGTCACGTGTCAGCGAGAGGAGGAACAACTATGTCGAGTATAGAGCTTTGGAACGCACGCGCAGTTGTAGCTGAGTGGAAGGTGAGGTGACACGACGTAAAAACATCTCGTTCGCCCTTCCAAACCAAGTTTCGGACCTGTGACAATGGAGTGGAGTGGATGAAAGAGTGGTGGTGGGGGGAAGAAGAGTAGAGCCCAAGGTAACAATACTGTGCAGAAAGAGAATCACGGGGACCTGGGTCAAGAATTCTTGTCGACATGAAGGACTTGACAGGCTGACAGGAATTGTCGAAACTCCTGGCACACCACTGTATTTGGTACTTGACTTGTTTCTTGTTGTTAGTAAGGAAAGTAACATTGTTTCGGTAGACGAGACACTCAAGCGCGGACAAACGAAATTTTTGGTCCAAACATTCTGGATCCTTCAACAGTTACCAGCTTTCGCATGCCCGCTCTTGAGGTTTTGCATCATGGTGGCACAAGCCTTCACCTCCGTCCTTGAGCAGGTGTGTGCAAGCCCCATGTCTGGAGGAACATGTTGCTTCTCTAGTTCCTAAAACCTATAAGCCATTCTATGCTAGGTGTAAGGAAATTTCCTTTTCCTTACCTCGCGTCCCTGCTCAGCACGTACACCAATGTTCCCGCCAACAACTCTCAACAGTGCACCGTTACCACTCGCGACACTCGCATCGACCACTGTTCACGCCACCGTTCATGACGCGACCCAACATCACGGTTCGGTTGGTAACCTGCGCTCCAGACCTCCGCCTCGCGCCTCAACAATTCCTAGCTTCATCGCTAGGCCCGTAGCGCACCCCATTTTCACACATTACCGTTACCACTGTAGCTTCGCTATATATTCTTCGCTCATGCCTTCGCTCAATGGACTGTTTTGCTTCGGTAGTGCAATTCTCGTTCGCTCGCACAATTGCACGCGTAACACTTGGTATTCATAGCCTACGATCTCTTCTCAGACTGCACCCACACCTTCGTTTCCCCACTATCTCAATTTTGGGGGGGTGTAGACGTCTCTCAGCGTTCAAGGCACCGCCGCTCGAAGTGCTCTCTCGAAAGCACGCACGGCCACAACCGAGGCTCTCGCTAAGCTTGCCCGACACCCCCGCCATGGCCGAATCACGTCGAATTTGCGGCGACGATCGGCAACAACGACATCATCGCACCGATGCCGCTCAAACCTCAGTGCCCGCGCTGCTTTGATCCTAGCCAACGAGGAGGTCCAACGGTTCAATCGTGAGTCTTCACGATGAACGTCTTCTTCGACGCGAATTACGTCGAGTCGGACGCAGCGAAGATACGATACGCCGTTTCGCTGCTACGATGGACTGGTGGCGAGTCATCGTGACGTCGCCACGCGCCTACGAGCCGCCGTCGCAAGAGGAAGGGCCCATGGGTCCAGCTGTCAGAAGAATGAACGAGAATGAATGAACTATGAAACAGTTGGGTACAAGTACTAACCCTAATTGGGTTGTACCCCTTATGGGCTACCCCACTATAGCCTACACAAATGTAAGCACTATACCATTCTGACACACCCCCATAGGTAAAGTGGGGGAGAACAAGTGGTCACAAGACCAGTCAAGAAAAGCAAAGCAAGCTCAGGGTGGATCACAAAGTCACCACACAGTCAGAGCACAAGAAAAGGGCCACAAGGCCAGTTCACATGCACTGTTATATAAAAGAGAAAAAACAATACATTGATCATACCCTAGCAAGTGTAAGTATGCAAGTATATATATAGATCACAGTACAAGCAAAGTCACGCAGTGAGCAAGTGAGGCAAAGTAGGCACAAGGCCTAACACAGTAGAGAAGCGCTGATGATCACCAGGCGGAAGTGCCTTGGTGAATATATCAGTAGTGTTGGCCCTAGTGGCCACGTACGCAAGACGAAGCTGGCCACGCTGCTGCAACTCTCGAGCAAGGAAGTATCGCAGAGCGATGTGCTTCGTTCTGTGCTCCAGTCTGTGCTCCTGACATAAGGCAATCATGGCCTTGTTGTCTACGTACAGAACTGGAGGCGAACGAGGCTGCTCTCTCAAGTCAGTCAGCAGATAGGTGAGCCAGCGTAGCTCCTGTGCAGCCATGGCCCCGACGTAGATCTCAGCCTCACAACTGGAGCTGAGAACTGAAGACGAGCGGGTAGACCGCCAGGAAACAGAGCCGGAACCGAGGTTGAAGGTGTAGCCCTGTGACGACCCCTACGTAGCTGAGTCGTCAACCCAAGAAGCGTCTGCATGACCAATGACGACAACTGGACCCCACCCTCCAAGCACGAGCCCCATGCCCGACGTATTGCACAAGTAACGCAGTACCCTCTTCGCAGCATCCCAGTGCATCTTTCGGTGCCTACCGGGAGCCACGTAGCGAGCCAGGAGGCTGAGAGGGTACACGAGGTCAGGTCGTGTGCATGTCATCAGGTACATGAGGCAACCCACAAGCTCTGGGTACGGACCACTCGGCTCTACGGACTCGTCCGCAGGTGGAGCTGAGAGCGAGTGACTGGTAGACAGAGGAGTGGGCTGTGGCGAGGAGAACTGGAAACCGAAGCGCTGAAGGACCTGGTGCACCATGTGTGACTGAGTCAGTGTGATGGTGCGCCGTGCTCTGTCCCGGGTGATCTGTAAGCCAAAATAGCTGCGCAGTTCATCCAGGTCAGTGCAGGTGTGTCTCTTCTGCAGCTCCGACTTCACAATGGTCAGTGCCTCAGTGTCAGCAGTGGCAAAGACGAGGTCGTCGATGTACACGAGAACGTAGAACGGCGGCAGCGACGTGTCGGTGCGTAGAAACAGCGACGGGTCAGCAGTAGAAGGAGTAAACCCCAAAGCCGCAACTGTAGTCCTCAGTGTGTCGTGCCACTCGCGAGGCGCCTGGCGGAGACCGTAGACGGGCCGCCGGAGGCTCCACTGGGTACCTGCAGGAAACGACCCAGTGAAGCCAGGTGGACGGCGCAGCCAGATCTCCTCGTGCAGGCTGCCCTGCAAGAAAGCTGTACTGAAGTCCAGAGAGTGTAACTCGTAGTCACGCTGAGCAGCAACGTGCAGCAACACCCGAAGAGTAGTCATCTTCGGGGTGGGGGAGAAGGTCTGGAAGTAGTCGACCCCCTGTCGTTGACTGAAGCCTCTAGCAACGTAACGCGCCTTGAAGGAAGGAGGAGAACCCGGCGGCCGCTTCACCCTGAAAATCCACATGCCATCGACTATGTTCGCCCGAGACGGGGGAACTGCGTCGACGTAGGTGCCTGTGGACTTCCAGGATGCCATCTCGGCATCCATGGCTGCCTGCCACTGAGAGGAGTAGGGACCCGTAATCGCCTCTGTGTAAGAGCGCGGGGTCGGGATGTCTGGTGCATACGGGTCTCCCTCAGGGGCAAGCAGCATGGAAGTGAAACGAGGTACAGCAGCTGCAAGACACTCAAAGTTTTCCTGCCTGTCCGCAAGGACGTCCGTGCCAAGAGCACACTCACCCCCGACGGACGGAGGACCGGCAGACTCAGACTCAGCAACAAGAGCAGTGGCGTAGTCTAGACGACAGGCAGCAGCAAAGTCAACAAGCTCAGCAACGAGGGCAGACGCAGCAGTGGACTCAAAGGAAGGGTCAGTGACAACAGGAAGAGAGGACTCAGGAGGAGGCGGCAGAGAAACACGCAATGGAACAGAGGAAGGACGAATTACCATAGCATGTATGCCGGGGACAGGAGGGGGACGCGGACGATGAATGCGACGACCAATGCGAACAGGGGAGGCAGGACGAGACGCAGGCTCACGACGCTCGGTAAGACCGCCGGTCTCCTAAGTGTATGGAGAAGGAGCAGGAAGTGGGGAGGCTGGCTGTAACTGTGGCTGCGACTGGTCAGGCG